AAAAGCATAACAAATGCAAAACAAACTAGGGGGTACCCAGGGAACCCATTCAGTTAGACAGTTCCATTCATATGCCTTCCTTCTGCTATCTCTGTTCCAGGTTCAAGTGATCTGCTACTGGGTGAGCTGGCCTCCGAGTCCTAGAAAGGGAACTCAGGAAATCCCGGGGTGCACCTATTCCCTTCTGAGGAGGCGGACAGCCACTCCCTTCAGCGGAACTGGAGTCAAGACCCAACACAGGCTATGTCAGTTAGTCCCTTCCTTCCTGGTCAATGCAGCCATAGGATCTTCACAAGCCTCGATCCAAATATTTATATAAGGAAACTGGTTGGGGTGGCTGGGGTGCCTGGTGACTTTTCCCCATACAGCCCAACAAAGTCTTGGTTCAAAGGAGCCCCCAGCTGGCCATTCCAATTGACACAGGGAGCAAAGCTTTCCACGAGAGAATTTAACCCCGTATGTGTCCTCCTGTTCAGTGAGGAAAGCCAATTTAAAATTAGTGAGAAAACAATCCAGTGGGGTATTCTTGGCGGAAGATCCTCCCATCGTTGTCCTTGATGGATTGAAAAGAAAATATGAAAGTTTACATGCAACAGATAGGACACTGATGTATGGACAACAAGAATGAACAGGCGCCACAAGAAAAACAAAGCTTACTCTGCCCTTGTTCCTCATCAGGAACCTTGGGGTCAGGGGAGGCTTCCTGGCTCATCAGCCACCTCACTTCTGACAACAAATGGTTGCAACCAGCCAAAAGCTTACCACCAGAGGTTTTTTAAGGTCTGTGCCTGAGAGTCTCCTTCTGGACCCCATTATGGAGTCTCAGCCAGACCAGGGGTTCCTATCCAGGGATCTCACTGGGTCCTTCAAAAATGTAAGACCAAGAGCCTTACCAACTGCTCTGAGGAGCTCAACAGCCACAAGAATCACCTGGGAAGGAGCACACTGGACAAGTTGGAAATGAAACAGACCTTTATTAGTCTGGCCATATGGCACTCTTGCAGTAGCTCAGAGAGGTGCTAGTTCAGGAGCTGAGGTCATCTTATAAGGGGATGCAGGGGGAGTTAACATTCAAAGCTTGCAGTCAGGTGTCAAAGGTTAATGGTCTGCTGATTTGCACTGGTGGCCAGCTGTCACATATTTGGCAGCCACACGTTGATGGTTAACAGATGCCTACAGGATGTTCTAAGATCTTAAAAGCACTTTGGGTTTAAACCCTGTTGAAGATAAGGGAGGGTGAAACAACAGTCTCTGAGTCATTATCCAGCCAACATGGAGTCACTTTAGCTCAGTCAGGTCTCACAGTTCCTTCTAGAGTTTTTCAATAACAGGCCAGATGGCTTTAGAAATACGTTGTAATAGTGTGGAAGCATCAGGGGGAGAAGTGGGAACTGAAGAGCTTCTTGTACACATTGTCCTCATACCCCTGTTGAATAGAATTGATTGAGTTGAGCAGTTTAGCGAAGGCCTTTGTAAACTGATTGTTGATGGGAAATGAGAAACCCAGGCCAGGATGTTGTGAGGTGGGAAGAAGGAGAAATCAGGTCAGCACCTCTGCTTGAGGGCTAAGAAAGCAGTCCAGAATGGATCTGGCAATACTGTAGCTTTGGGGCACAAGCCCCAGCTCTGAGTGTCCCACCAGCCCAGAATCAGTCTATGTTCTACAATGTCAAGCACAGAGATGAAAAGCGGTGATGGAGAGGAAAGGAACTTTAATCAGCATGGCATGTTGTTAAGCACAGAGCTGTTCAAAATCATCTTTCAGCAGCTTACAGAAACATTGGGGTTTTGCATAGGTGGGGGCTTACAGAGCTGGTAGTTTAGTTAATCCTAGTTGGTAATCCTGGTTAAATTGCAATGTGGTGGACCAGTGTCTCAAGACTGGTTCTCTGAAGTCTCTGAAGAAAGCCACCATTGCTGGAGGGGAAAATTCGGTTCCCATCATGAGATGATGGCTCCTGCTTGGGAGGATAGTTGCAGTTCCTGTCACAGGGTCACTGTTCCCACTTTGGGGGACCTCATTGTGGTGGACTGTGCAGTTCTGCTGTTCCTGGAATCCAAGGTTGTAGGTTTAGGACAATGACTTGAGACTTCTAAACGTTGTTACAGGGATGCTTAGAACTGAACGTTGTAAAAGCTGCCAACTAGACAGGATTTCCAAATCCTGAAAATTAGTTACAATTGGTATTCTCATCTTGAAGGGGTTTGAGACAAACGAGACAAATTTAGGCTTAATAAACCTTGTCTTTAACTGGTTAATATGCCTATGTACAGACCTGAGTAGGAAATGAATCCAAAGTTTTAAGGTAATAAAACATATAAAATGAAGAGATGACAAGTTTTATCACACGTTTACCCACCCATTGGGTATCTGCAGAATCAGCCTCTAGGTCCCTATTACACTGGAAGAGGGAAATAAAAAAGAGAGGCAGAGGACAAAGAAGGGAAAGGTATCTGATTCCTCCCTTTTGTCCAAGGGCAGCCTCTGAGCTCCAGAAGCAGGAAAGACACTAGCTTCATTGACTTGAGTCTCTGGAGGAAGGCGCTGGGCCTTCCCAACATACTTGCTCACTGGCAAGTTATTTCTGGAAGACTCATAGGTGAGTAAACAGGGGGATGAATCAGGTCCTTAAACACAGAGAACAGTCTCCAAGTCAGTAGCCTGGGAGGTGGAGACAGGGGAGCTTTGTGCACCCTGAGCCCTGTGCAGTTTTGTCTCTGCAGTCTGCCCAGGTTCTGGAGACATGCAAGGGCTTCTCTCCACTCTTCTCTTCACAGAGCTGGCACAGGTAAGCTCTGCTTCTCTTTCCCTTTCAGAGACACTAGCTTTCCTTAGCTCTTCATGTCCAAAATAGAAAAGGAAGATAGTGGAGAGAAACTTTGTGAAAACACTTCATGAGAATCAGGGAGCCATTTTCTTCTCCAAGGAAGTTCTGCTGGAGTTCCTAAGCTTCAAGAGAGAAATGTGAAATTATTTTTCCTTTAAGCTAAATGCACTGAAGCCTGCTTCTGATACATTTGAACCGTCCACAAATTTTACTATGAATATATTTTATCTGAGCCTAACATGTACTGTCTGGGACATGGCCATGCTGGCTGCCTTGGTGGAACAAGTGTCCCTTCATTAGTGCTTCAGTCTAGGGCTCAGCTATGTTTTTCAACTTTCCACTTGCAAAATGTGCAAAGAACCCCTGATAAAATGGATTTTGGTAAGAACATTTTTTACTTAAGCCTGTTCTTACTTGAAAAGAGTACTTCAGAACAAAAATTAACATTTTAAAAAATAGTCTGTTTTGTTTTGTTTTGTTTGTTTTCATACTGGGGCTCAAGCTTGGGACCTTTAATTTAGCAAGGCAGACAGCAGAACCACTGAGCTAAATCCTCAGCCCTAGTCTGTCATTTCTTAATGCATGTGTTTCTCACTTTTCCTAAAAGAGAACTGGTTCATGAGGGCTTTGAAATGTTTCAAGTGACAGACCACAGGGAAGTTTAATTTAATAATAGCAATTCATTGCCTAAATGTTTTAAAGTTAGATTAAGAAAGCATGATTTAATGACTTATATAAATGATGGGAGTTCTGGCTAGCAAAGGGGATAGAACTCTTTAAATATTCTGGTGATTTAGAAAATATGGAAGTGTTGAGTTAATAGTTGATTTTGGCAGTGAGCAGCAGACCTTAGAAAACAAGGGATGGAAGCCAGATTTGATGACACCTATAATCCCAGATCTTTGGGAAAATGAGGCAGGAGAATTGAATGTTTGAGCCCAGCCTGGGAAACTCTGAATTAGAAAGACCTTGTTGAAAAATTAAAAAATTTAAAAGGAGCTGGAGCTGTAACTCAGTGTGAAGGCCTTGGGCTCAATTCCCTGTATCACAAAAACAAAACAAAACAACAAAGAATCAGATTAGTTATATTCTATATAGACAGATTTAGGATTTATGTCGGTGTGGTACCACATGCCTGTAATTCCAGCACTTGGGAGGCTGAAGCAGGAGAATTGCTGTGAGTTCAAGGCCAACCTGGGCTGCGCAGTGAGCTCAAGACCAGACTAAACTGCATCACAAGGCTCTGCCCCAGCCTTGCAGATTTAGGAAACAGGATCATAAGGAGAGTTTCTGTGGTTCATGGCATTCCCTGAACCACACTTAGTGGAGGGGTGTGCTTCTCCAATGAGCAGGGAACTAAGCTGTCTTCAGTTCCACATTCTGGGAAAGTCCACATGAAAAGTTCATATTACTGTAGACTGAGAGTTGCTACTTGTTCTGAAGCAGTAAACATATATGTAGGCTGCAAAAAATGAACAAGTGGTTATATTTAGAAAAGAAATATTTTGTGTATGTCTTTCATGAATTTTTAAAGGGTCTGAAGATGTCTATCATTTCTTTAACACCAGCCATGTGCCAAGAACTGTGTTAAGTTTTCTTCTCATTCTCTTAATCCTGAACCAACTATACCAGATGCATGTTATCAATCCCACTTTAGGAAGGAGTACTAAGGCTTAAAGACTGAATGATAGTTTAGGCATGGTGGTGTAGACCTGCAATCCTAGCTATTCCAGAGGTCAAGGGAGGAGGATCACATATTCCATCTGTGCTTGGGCAACTTAACAAGACCCTGTCTCAAAATAAAAAAAGCAATGATGTGTAGCTCAGTGAGGTCCTGGGTTCAATACCCAGCCCCCCACCGAGTTATCTAAGATCACAGAATTTCATTAAAATCTCAGATCTTGGGGTTGGAGATTTAGCTCAGTGGGTCTGCTGCCTGCCTCACAAGCACAAGGACCCAAGTTTGATCCCCAGTACCCCCCAGAAAAACAAAACAAAAAAACTCAGATCTTTTTTGAAACAGTTATTCTTTCTATCATTTTAAAGACTTGTGACTTGAGATTTTGCTTTTGAAAACAAATAAAATATGTATGAAAAGAGAAAAATATAAAATTCTGTGTATTCAGCCATGCATTTTCTTCTGCTGGGACTCTTCATTTCTTCTTGTATTTCTGAGTTACTATTGTAACTTCCTTAGTAAATTTTTCTTAGTTTGTATCTGGACATGGCTTTTATCCATATTTCTGAAACATAGTTTCACTGGATATGGAATTCTAAGTTGATGTATTTTTTTTTTTGCTTTTAGCATTCTATCTGGGCATCTTCTCTGCCCATTCTTCCTCCTTCTTTTGATGAGAAGTCAGGTTTCATTTTTTTTCTGTATCTAATGTGTCTCTCTTCTCAGTCTACTATCAGACTACACTTCTCTTCATCCATGGATTTCTATGGTGTTACCTTGTGATTGCAGAGATGATCTAGTGATTCTTTAGGACTGGAAAAATAAAAGGCATTTCCACATGAGCATTTATTTTTTCTTTTCTCATTGAGTTTACTGCTACTTTTTAGGCATACAGTACAGTTACATTCATCATTGGGATCTTGTACCTTTACATGACAAGTCTTGATTCTCATCATAGGAAAATGGATGCATACTGAAGTCATACTCTTAAGTGAAATAAATAAGTCACACATGAGTAAATATTGAATAGTTTCTCTGGTGTGAAAAATTAAAAGTGTAAATAAGATCCAAATGGTATAATTGACAATGTGAGATAGGAAGAAAGGGGCTAAAGTTGTAGGAGAAGCAGGAAGGGTAGGGGAAAGGAAATAAGGGAAAAGAAAAAAAATGAGGAAATGAAAAAATGGAAATAAAGTATTTGTAAATAGGGAAGGGAGGAGGGCAGGGTTATGGGGAAAAAAATGAGAACCAAGACATGTCATATTTTTTCTTTTATAAAAAAGTAAAACAAAATCTTATAACAAAATAATAAGAGAATACAGTAGTTAACACACTGTTCATTGTTATCTTCAAAGTAGTTACTCAAGAGTACCAGCAAATAAAAAAGATTCTTACAAAAAATAAATAAACAAAACACAAGTTTCTTTTCAAGAATCTAAGATAGGGCTGGGGATTTGGTTCAATGGTTGTGCCGCCTGCCTCACAAGGGTCTGAGTGCAATCCCTGGTACCAAAAAAAAGAATTTAAGATGAACTAGTAGTATAAATGAAACAAATTAGCATATATAGTAAAGTATTTTTGAAAGAAAGTGATTTGGGAAGTGTATAAATTTCTTCCTACTTCCTGTTAATCTTTTATTTTGCTCATTTATATATTTACATATATTTTTTCTCATATGAGAAACATGTAATATTGAGGTTATGTGTCGACTTATTTCACTTAACATTATATTCTCATGTTGCATCCATTTACCTGCAAATCCCTCATTATCCTTCCTTACGGCAGAGTAGTACTCCTTTGTGTATAAATACCACATTTTCCTTATCCACAAATCTGTTGATGGACATATATGATGTTTCCAAGATCTATATATTATAAATTATGCTGCCATAAACATGGGTATGATGTATTCCTATAATATGATTTTAACTCTCTTGGGAAGATTCCTAGAAGGGGGACAGCTGAGTTGAATGAAATTTCTATTTTTAGTTTTTGATGAATCTCCACACTGATTTCCACAGTGGTCATACCTGTTGACATCCTTACCTACAATGAGAAGGCTCCTTTTTCCTCCACATTTTTACCAGCATTTAATAGTTTTTTTTGTTTGTTTGCTTGTTTGTTTTTTAGGCTCATTCTTCCTAGGGTAAAATGGTATTTCACTGTAGTTTCTTTTTTCATTTTAATTGAGTTTACTGGTACAATCTAGGTCTACAATACATTTACATTCATTACTGGGATCCTGTACCTTCACATGACAGGACTTGGTTCTCATTTTTTCCCCTTGTCCCTGCCCTCCCTTCATCCCCTCCTCCCCTCCCCATTAACAAACACTTTATTTCCATTTTCTCATATTTTTTCTTCTCCCTTATTTCCTTGCCCCTACCCTTCCCCCTTTCCTTACACCTTTAGCCCTTTTCTTCCTATTTCACACGCTTAAGTATCCATTAGGATCTTGTATACTATTATAGTTTTTCACACCAGAGAAGCTATTTGGTATTTACACATGTGTGACTTACTTATTTCACTTAGGAGTATACCCTCAATATGTGTCCACTTTCCTATGAATGACTCTAAATTCTCATTCTTTATGGCTGAGTAGTATTCCATTTTAGAGAAAAAACCACATCTTCTTTATCCAGTTTCCAACTGATGGGCAAATGGGCTGTTTCCAATGTTTAGCTATTACAAAATGTGCAGCTATAAACATTGGTGCACATATATCACTGTTGTATGATTATTTTAAATCTTTTGGAAAGATGCCCAACAGAGGGATGGCTGGGTCCAATGGAACCTCTATTCCCAGATCTTTGAAGTATCTCCATATTGATTTCCATAGTGGTTGCACCAGTCTGCACTCCCACCAACAATGGAGAAGGGTACCTTTCTCCCCACAACCCCACCAACATTTGTTATTGTGTGATTTCTTGATAGCAGCCATTCTTTGTGGGGTGAGGTGGAATTTCAGTGTTGTTTTCATCTGCATCTCTTGAATGACCAGTGATGTGGAACATTTATTCATATATTTACTTGCCGCTTTTGCTTCTTTGTCTGAAAAATGTCTGTTCATTTCAGATGCCCATTTTTGAATTGGGGCTTTATATTTGGGGGGGCTGACTGTTTTGAGTTCTTTATATATTCTAGATAATAGTCCTTTGTCTGAGGAGCAGGTGGTAAAAATTTTTTCCCACATTGTAGGTTGTCTCTTAGTTCTGTTGATGGTTTCTTTAGCCGTGCAGAAGCTTTTTAATAAGATGAGATCCCAGTTGTTGATTCTTTCTGCAAGTTCCTGTGCTACTGAGGATTTGTTCATAAAGTCTTTTCCTATGCCAATATCTTCCAGAGTTCTGCCTAACTTATCTTCCAGTAAGTTTAGTGTTTCTCTTTTAATATTTAGATCTTTAATCCACTTGGATTTTAACTTAGTGCATGGTGAAACATAAGGGTCTAGTTTTAATCATTGGCAGTTTGAGATCCAGTTTTTCCAACACCATTTATTAGAGAGACTATCTTTCCTCCAGTGGGGATTGTCAGTTTCTTTTTCAAAGATGAGGTAGCTAAGTACATCTACAGTTATTTTTCTTTTCTTTTTTTTAGCTTTAATTGAGTTTATTGGTACATTTTAGGGATACAGTACAGTTACATTCATTGTTGGGATCTTGTACCTCTACATGACAAGTCTTGATTCTCATTTTTTCCCCTTACCCCTGCCCTCCCTTATATATCTCTATCTTCCAGTCTTTTCCACTGATCCTCAGGTCTGTTTCTTTGCCAGTAACTTGCTGATTTTTATCACAGTGGCTTTGTAGTATAGTTTCAGATTGGGAATTGTTATACCCACTGCTATGTGTCTGTTGCCTAGGATGGCTTTTGCTATGCTAGGTCTCTTATGGTTCCAAATGAATTTTTGGATTCTTCTTTCTAGTTCTGCGAAGTGTAGTGTTGGTATTTCTATTGGTATTGCATTGAATCTGTATGTCAGTTTTGGTAGTATGGCCATTTTCACTATGTTAATACTTCCTACCCAGGAGCAGGGGATATCTTTCCATTTTCTTATATCATCTTCGATCTCTTTTTTCAGAGTGCTGTAGTTTTCAGTGTAGAGGTCTTTTGCTTCTTCTGTTAGATTGATTCCCAGATACTTCGTTTTTTTGGGGGGGGTGCTATTGTGAAAGGAATTGTTTCCCTAATTTCTTGGTCAGTGAGTCTGTTGTACAAGGCTATTGATTTTTGGGTGTTGACCTTGTATCCAGCTACTATGCTAAAATTGCCTATTAAGTCAAGAAATCTTTTGGTGGAGTTTTTTGGGTCTTCAATGTAGAGTATCATATCATCAGCAAATAATGACAGTTTAACTTCTTCCTTTCCTTTCTTTATTGATTTAATTTCTTTCTCTTGTCTAATTGCTATGGCTAATGTTTCCAGAACTATACTGAAGAGGAGTGGTGATAGTGAGCATCCTTGTCTTGTTCCTGATTTTATTTATTTATTTATTTATTTTGGTACTGGGGATTGAACTTGAGTCCTTGTGCTTGCAAGGCAGGCCACTGAACCGCTGACCTAAATCCCCAGCTTGTTCCTGATTTTAACATGAATGTTTTGAGGTTTGGGCCATTTAATATGATGTTGGCTGTTGGGCTTTCATAGATAGCCTTTATTCAGTTGAGATATAGACCATCTATTCCAATTTTTTTCAGAGTTTTTTTCATGAATGGGTGTTGCATTTTGTGAAATGCTTTTTCTGCATCTATCGAGAGGATCATGTGGTTCTTGTCCTTGACCTTGTTAATACAGTGTATTACATTTATTGATTTATGTATGTTGAACCGTCCTTGCATCCCTGGAATAAATCCAACTTGGTCAGGATGTACAATCTTCTTGATGATCCTCTGTATTCTGTTTGCTAGTATCTTATTGAGGATTTTTTGCATCTATATTCATTAAGGAGATTGGCCTGTAGTTCTCTTTTTTAGTTATATCTTTCCCAGGTTTGGGAATCAAAGTGATACTTGCTTCTAGGAATGAATTCGGAAGTATTGCTTCCCTTTCGATTTCATTAAAAAGTCTGAAGAGTAATGGCAATAGTTCTTCTCTAAATGTCTTGTAAAATTCAGCAGTGAATTCATGAGGACCTGGGCTTTTCTTTGTTGGTAAGTTTTTAATTACATTTTCAATTTCACTCATTGTAATTGGGGTGTTTAAAATGTTTTCATCTTCTTCATTCAAATTTGGTAATTCATAAGTGTCTAGAAATCGGTCCATTTCTTCTGTGTTTTCCATTTTATTAGAGTACAGGTTCTCATAGTAGGTATTAGTGATCCTCTGGATTTCTGTGGGATCTGTTGTGACTTTGCCTTTTTCATTTTTGCTTGCATGAATCTGAGCCTTTTCTTTCCTCTTTTTGATAAGGTTGGCTAAGGGTTTATCAATTTTATTTATTCTTTCAAAAAACCAAATCTTCGATTAATTTATTTTTTGTATCATTTTCTTAGTTTCCATTGCATTGATTTCTGCTCGAATCTTTATAATTTCCTCTCTTGTTCAAGCTTTGGGTTTTTCTTGCTGTTGTTTTTCTAGGAGTCTAAGAGTCGTTGTTAGGTTGTTTACTTGAGGTTGCTCTGTTTTCCTAACGTGGGCATTCAGTGATATGTGATATGACTTTTCCATGTAGAACTGCTTTCATTGTGTCCCATAGATTCCTGCATGTTGTATTGGCATTTGTGTTTATTTGTAAAAACTGCCTGATTTCTTCTTTAATTTCCTCTGTGATCCATTGATTGTTCGTGAGAGTGTTGTTCACTTTCCATGTGTTT